TGTATATATATATATACACATTAGTATGCATATACATAGGTGCAAGCACATACCCCTATCAGACCTCTTAAGGGGCCACCGGTTTTGCGCCGCCTGACATCAGAGGACCACGTTGCGAATCCCCAGTCTCGGACTCGGAGGATCTGCAATTCTAGGCTTTAGGGTTTATCACCCCCCAGAAAAAAACGCATTCAAAGACAATGGAAAGCACTATAGTGTGTGGGGTGGTTTAGGGTCGGGGCTTGTTTGCTGCTTTGTGATAGGTAATCAGACTCTGAACCCTAAAGCCTACAGAAATAGCATTTTTGTTATAGGTCTAGGGGACTGACAGTATAGGGATCCCTTCCTCTATTCCCACAAACAACCAGCAGGACTAGCACCCAGGGCCGAGCTGCTTCATAGGGATGATAGGGGTGAAGTAGATGGTTTTGTTTGCTTTGTTTTTGGGGTTTAGGGGTTTCAGCCCTAAGGGGGCTTGCGGTTGTGGTTTTGGGTTTATATAGTCTCGAAACTGACACGCAAGCTCAACAGCACCTCCCAAAGATCACAGCCCCGCTAAAAGCGGCCTGTGTGGTCTCCATATCCGTTAGGGGAGGGTCTCAGCGGGCTCAAAAGGTGGGATGAAGGTAGGTGGGTTAAAAGATCCTTAGAATATATTCTACTATATTGGGCTTATTCCCTGTACTCCATCTTCCTTCATCCCACTTTTTGAGCCCTTTGCGGGTAGGGTTGTGGGTTGCTGGTTGAGGCCTTACTGGGAAATTCATGGAGGCTTAGCTATACGCGGAGCGCTTTCAGCACCCCCCCAAATTAGATGAACACCAGCTAATAAATGCAGTTATCCTACCTACCACCCCAATCGTAGCTACCCACAAATCTTAAAACCGATCATGTAGAGAACCCTGCTATGGCCGCCTGCGCGGCACTGTCATCCAGCTGAAAGCATATGAGCTACGGACTAAAGCTAGGTTGTGGGGACGTATCGGGGGATGTACAGGGGGTGTAGGCGGGACCTTGAAAGGATATGCTGTAACTTTAACTAGTCCAGGGCTCCTCTGACCCCAATGCACCTTATACAAACTCGTGGCTTCTCCATGGGTAGACCTTGACATTTTGTTTTTTTGAAATGACGACGGCTTCGTCTGGCCTGGCAGGGTCACAACGCGGACTGTGTCTGTCAATGCCATCATGGCAAGATGGCCCTCCAACATTCTGGATGAGCACAGGGAGGAAGCTTGCAACTTCTTCCAGCAGCAGTTCGCAGCCCCGATGTGGCCATTGCAGTCGGTGTGAAAGCACGATTATTGTCAGGACTATATGAATTAACAACTCCTGCCTCAATGTGTTCTTCAAATCATGCGTGTCGTTTTGGGGTTCCAAAAGTAAGTACTGCGTCACAAAAGTAAGTACTGTGTCCATACTAGTTGCGAGAGTGGGATTCAAGTTTGGGGCCTCTCGAAGTGAGATATTCTGGATTGCGGCGCAATCATTGCGCCGATTACCATTGAACTGCAGCATCCAAATTTCAAGACCACGTGTGAAGTATGCGGGAAAATGCCTTGCAGGGATTATAATCCTGATGAGGCTTCAAACCCTAAACCCCGATCCCGCAAGCTTAACACCTGCACTATGTGAGCTATATAGTCTAAACTCCTAGGCCTAGTATCCCCCTTTAGCAATCCCTATAATACTCCCCTATGTGTTCTAAAGCCCCAAACCCTAACCGTAATTAGACCCAATCATCCTCAAGTAGCCGTAATTAAGGGGGGATTCTCAACCCTGGAGGCCCCCAAACCCCTACTGAGTAGTATTTTATTTGGGGATACTATGGTACGCAATATAGAGTAAGATTTGATCCTCCTTTTGGGGTATAGTATTTTATACAAGGAATATAATCTTACTAGATTCAACCACCAAAAAAACACTACTCACTACTCTACTGGGATTTAGGGTTAACAGAGTTTGGAGGTTTAGCATCCTAAGCTCTGAGCCCTTTCAAGTTGCCTCGGTCTCGTTCTTTCTCTGCCTTCCGCCATAGATGTGACCCAGAGGGTCCCAGAAACCAAGAATTAAGGACTTGGGTTTTGGGTAATCGCAGTTATAGTGCAGGTTTTGGGGGTTCAGGGTTTAGGGCAAACCCTAAACCCTAAACCCCTAGCAAGTATATGATTATTAGGTACTTGGACCCCCTTAGGCTGACTCCATGCACGAATGAAGTTAAGGGTTTGGTGGGGCTTTGAGGTTTGAGTTGCAGGTTTAGGGCTTCGGGGGGTTCGCCCAGTTACTGTCGGGGCAAAATTATGATGGTGTGGGCAAATGCAGCTGCAGGTAGTAAATTCCCAATCTGTCCATCCTGATCCACTTCGCGAGCTGCCCCCGCTTTTTTTGCATCCTAGAGCCTCTCAGGGTTTTTTTTCTCCCAAAGGCTTTCGCCAGCTGCAGAGGATGTTAACAGGTGCCCTAGGGCTTGCCATGGCTTCATAAACTTAAACTCTAATGAGTAGTATTTTATTTGAGGATACTATGGAACCCATTTTAGAGTAAGATTATATTCTCCTTTTGGGGTATAGTATTTTATAGAAGGAATATTACCTTACTGGGTTAACCACCAAAAAAAAAGCTACTCAAATGCCCACACTCGCCCTTGAACCATTTCTTTGTGGTTAGGAGCCTTTTTGGCCAACACTTCACCTGGCCCCGATCCATGCCAGGTGTTGGTTAGATTCTTCTTAGGCCCTAACCTCCAAACCATCCACCTGGATCTTAGAAGTAGGTTAGATAATGGCCCACCAAGACCCTTAGATATAGCCAAAAAGGCCATGATTCTACATACTTTTGGGGTTCAGGCAAATCCCTATGCCACCAAACCCTTGGTGTTTAGGGTTTGCCAAGGCTTTCCCCCTCGAGTTTGGCCTCCTGTGTCGGGGGCAGCGGCCGGATCGCGGAGCATCTGACTAAGTGGCTTATAGGCCCCTGGGAACGCACCAAGCTACAAACTTGGAAGCCCAAAACGGAATGTGTTGGGGGTTGTATATCTTAAGGGTCCAAGGACTCAACTAGTAGGGTTTTAATTAGGGCCCAAATACTGTACTATTCGCGGTCTTTGGGCCCTTAAACCCTAATATTTGGATTCTTGGACCCTTAATGGTTGTCCCGCAACCCTAGACCCTCAACCCTAGGAGGTTCTAAGAATGCATAAGGTCGAGGGTTTAGGGTATATACTGCATGCCCCCGCAGTACCCCAAACTAACGTGAAAATAATACTTTGCGGAGGGTAAGGGACCTTGGATGCAGGGCGGGGTTATGGCTGACGAGTTAGGGTGGAGTCTGGTTCTGGGGCTTAACATAGACCCCTGATTAATGCACCCCCTCCCATGAATAGGGGTCATGGTAAGGATCCTAGCATTTAGGCCCGTAACAGGACTGTTTTATAATAATTGGTCTACACTAGGGTTCAAGGTTGAGGCTTTGGTTTCACGGTATAAGCTCCAGGGTTTGGTTTTGCCGCGTCGGGTGAGGGGTTGAGGGTTTGGTGTAGGATTTAGGGTTGAGGATTTAGGGCATAGAGCATAGGGTTAGTGCCTTGGGCATTGGAATTGGGCATTGGGAAACCTACTGTGAAGCTCTGCAGAGATCACATGAAGTTAGAGGTTCAGGGTTTAGGGTCCTAAGCCCATAAAACCCTAAAGCTTAACCCGATTACTCTGAGAGCATATAACCCTAAACCCCAAACCCATACAACCCTAAACCCTAAACCCATAACTCATAAAACCCCGAAGTCAAGGCAGTGGATGGAGAATGTTAGGGTCTAGGGCTTATGACTAAGGGTTTCGGGCGTTTTGCGCCAGCCAAAACTGCTAATTACTATGAGAAGCCACTATCACCAATATTGTTACTAAACCTGTTGCTATGATGTCATAGCTCTTCCTTATGACCATCATCCTTTTGAGAGGAGCTATAGAAAGCTTATAAGTTAATAGGTACACACAAATGATGCTGCCCGAAGCCCTACCTGGACCCCAAAAGTATGTAAAGTAATTGTCTCAATGGCTCTTATTTTGGGTTTAGGGCTAGTATCTTACGGATTTTTGGGGTTTAGGTACATTCCAAACCGTAAACCCCCTGAGTTTCGAGGTCAACTTACAACTCAAGGATCACGCCAACGCCTAAATCCCGAGTCCTAAGCCTTGACAGCTCAGCCGGTGAAGCTTCAGGATTATAGGGCTTAAGGGTTTAGGGTTAGGGTTTTGCTGAACCCCAACTCCCTAGGTATCTACCCCCCCCGCAAGAATTACAGTAATCCATATACAACCCTATAGAACCCTGATATTCCCTGTAGTTTCCATTTTCTTTTCCACTATCCCTGTATATCCCCAATATAACCCTATATATCCCTTTAGAAGGACCTATGGTTTTGATTTTATTTTTCATTATCCCGGAGTTCTGAGTGGTGCAAGATTTCCTCCGCCCACCGGGTATTTGCCAAGGCTTTCACGCCTATGCCAAGACTGCTCGGGATGTCAAGCCAAGGATGGAGAAGTCATGCCCCCGGAGAGTCGACTTTAGGGTTTAGGGTTTGAGGGTTTAGGGTTTGGGGTTTTCGGTTTAGGGTAGGGTTTGGGAGTCTGGGGAGAAATGGCTTCAGGAAATATCTGAACGCTACCTGCAAAGTGGGTTACAAGAGTGTATATGGTAGGGACAAGTAAGATTCCAAGTCGCAAATTGAAAAATATTTCTGGCGCTGATAGGCAGAGACATGCAGCTGGGGGGGTCTTACTCTGCATATTCTAGTTTGCAGACGAAGGTCCTCACCATGGGCCACTACTTGAGAGGGATCTGAAGCTATAGGCTCTAGGGTGTTGCGTTTGGCGTTTTGGTATTACAGCTCAGGAGTACAGGAATTTGCTTCAGGGCTGTGGGCATGATGTGAATTTGGGCACTGGAGGCCAGAAAGCACGCGAACCCCAAAGCTTACACCTTCAGTCCCGCACCATCAACCCTGTAAACCCTAGGCCTGAACTCTGAATCCCCAAGCCCTCAGACCTAAACCAGCAAGGCTCCGGAAGCTACAGTACGAGCTGCAGGAGAGCGGTCAGGGGACGTGAAGAGGTGCGGGTCACTTGCGGGCTTCGGATCTAGAATCTAGAAGCTTACTGGGATGCCCCTACTTATACAGCTGTTCACCGATCATGTAGACCTTAGACACCAAAGACCATCAGTTTGAGGATTTCATATAAAGAATTCTACTATAGGGTCCTAAAACTGAAGGTCTTTGAGCCTTTGGGGTCTAAGACAAGGGAATAAAGTTGCAAATTAAAAGGGAACTGAAGTGGAAGCTGGGTTGCTTATGAATCAGCATTAGGTGTTTAGCCATTTCAACATACATTCTACGTTCCAAGAGTGCGTAAAACCTAAGAAGAAGCCCTGCAACATTCAATTCCGTCTACACGACGTCTTTAACTAACAGCAATAGGTCCAAGATTGTTTGAAATGCGTCTCATAATGACAGGGTCCTCGCGTAAGGCAGGTGTATACGAAGGCAATTCCCATATTGGGTGGATTTGGGTGGAAGTCATGACTAAGCAAAACTTTCCACAAATTTGGTCGTCCCGAGACCGCACCGCCTACCCACAACAATATTAAGCCGTGGCACGTGTAATGCGAGATCCTGCTTTTCTTGGGAACATGCTAACCCTGGGCATCCGAAGTGCACGAAAATGCCATACACTCGGGTACGTGCACATTTTCCAAGGACGTTAAGTCCAATGTGTCCAGAAATTTGTATACATTCAAATATGATATTTTTATGGAATCTTTGGGAGGTGTTGAGTCATGAATTGCAAGCGAGATTCACATATACCGATACCAAAATCAGAATCAAACTGTTTTCAGACCTTTTGATGGAAAGGCGTGCAAAATTGGCTGGCCACATTTTATGCACCCCATCGTTCGACCCTCTCCGACAAGTAAGTTATCAGCCAGATTCTGCACAGACTTTCCACATTGGCAAAAGGAGGGTGGGGGGACCTCGGCAAAACTGGCTCTTTCATGCCCACGGTTTCACCAAGCTGCCAAGTATGGCAGGAAACAATGGCAAGCAAAACATGCAAAAATCAAGTCCAAACCTTCCCAAATCAAAACGAATCTGGTAAACAATACCTCATCATTGGGTTTGGGGTTTGGGATTCTAGGTTTATAGAGCTATAAGGCTCAGGAAGCCAAATGATATGCTGCTATATTGGTTCAACGCATAGTTCGCTGCTTTTCTAATGACCCACACTTCAGATCTTACCCAGAAGGCGGGAATGATCCCCCCAGCTTCCCCACAACCCCGCAATATGCTCCGTCAGGCAAACTGTCTTGACCCCCAGGTTTTCGTCACGCCCCGTCACGCTTCGTCACGCCCCTCCAGCCCCAGCGCAGCCTTCTCACACCAGATCACGCCCTGTAATCCCCTCTCTCCGCCCTCCTCACCACCATACTGCATACATACTTTTCGGCGCGTGCGGGCGCCACCGCGTGGCCACTAATTATCCCCAGAGTGGAAGGCAGTTTTGTATAATCAATAGAATGCATAGCTAGAGCCTGGGAATCCAAACCCATGAAAATGCTATTATGCTCCCTTGGGGGGTTTACAACTACCTGAGACGAAAGCTTTAGCAGCAATACTCCATCTCTCTATCTACTGCACTTTTGGGTAAGTTTATTTCCTTGCTGCGGGATGTTTTAGAATGATTTTCTCTTTGATTATATGCATAGATGACCCGAAATCCTCGTAATGTGTGCAGACCGTGTGAATGATCTCTATAAACCAGGGTTTTCGAGAAATACCCGCTACATATTTCATGAAAGTGTCCAAATATCTAGGACATTTGTTATGCAGTTATTTTTCCGGTGTTCTCCAACGTTAGCATCGCTTGATGTCAAGGATGCCCAGGGTAAAGCATGCAGATTCGCCTGCAGGCGTCTGCCCTCCTGGCACACCCCAAAATATTACAATCGTTGTTATAGGGCTTCCCATGCATGAAAGAACCCTAATTGCAGGAACCCCCATATGTGCTGGCTAACTTGTGCATTCAGCCGTGACCTTTTGCGTGAACCCGCAAGCCCTCAACTCTAAACCCTATAAACCCTATAAACCCTAAACCCTAAACCCTAAACCCTAAACTCTACTTGGAGGTTCAGGCGTCTAGGGCTTGGAGTTGAAGGCCTATAGCGGTCAGCAGTTGGGGTAGTTGAGATACAAGTACTTGAAGTTCAGCCTTCCCCCTAAGGGTCCAAGGACCCTAGTAACAGAGTTTTTGGGCCCAAATACCAGTCATATTAAAGCATCTGGGCCATTAAACCCCTTTATTTGAGTCCTTCGACCCTTGGGGTTCTGCATGGGTTAATCTCAGGAGGACCCCCCACCCTGTAATAGTGGTATAATAGGAATGCAAGCGGACCCTAATAAAATCCCTATTATCCCTTATAGTCACTATTACTGGGTGGGGGGTCCACCTAAGGATACCCGTACATCCCCATTGAACACTGCTCAGGAACCTCGATCGAAGTAGACCAGCTTTGCAGTCAAAACCATCAACCAAGATATGGGGGTTTCCCAAAATTAGGGGTACCTTTCTGGGGGTCCCAGAGTAAGGATTATAACATTTTGGGGTCTATATTGGGGTCCCCCTATTTTGGGAAACTACCATATGGGGCTTGGCGCTATACCGGAAACTATTTCTGTGGTAGGCATTGACACCTCGAACGTCGATATTTTGGATCGAAAAACCGCGACCCCAACAGGGCTCAAGGGCGAAGGCAATTAAAGGCGGATGTAGATGCACCCCAGGTGAATGTCCCCTCGTAAACGTTAATTTCACGAACCTTCTTCGATAGCTCTCAGGGAATTCAATACTCGGTTTGGGTTTTACTAAGTGGCTTCGACATCGCAAAACTTTACAACCTGAAA